TACGCGAATGGCAAGAAAAATTCATTTTATACTTAAAGTCATTAATATTTGAAAATAGTGAAATTTTTTGGGTTACTCTTTTTTTTTTTTTTTTTTAACGAGATACAGTTTTGATATATCACTGCGATCAGCATTATTTAAAAAGTATAATTATAAATAATAAAGTACATATTTAAACTTCCCAACATACAAATAAATAAAGCAATATAACATTATATTTTACCAGTAACAAATTCGTTACGATAACAATAATTTTAGACACGATGAAGACTACAATTAGTTTCATATCATTACATTATTTATTGCTGAATAACTACTTTGATATCATCGAATATCTAGATATCGTGTTAAGTCTATATTTATTTTATTTGTCCAAGTCAAATAAAAAAGAATTACTAACCAGAAATCACTTTTTTATTACATGAATTGTAATAATCCAAGAATCGATTTTAAAATCTAAAATTTAAATTAATCACAATCACGAAAATCAGCCTAACGATTATATTAATAATATATTGAAATTCGAAATTTATAAGAGAAAGAAAAATCGAATAAAAGCTAATTTAATTTATTCATTGTTGTTTCGTGTGTATTGATCGCAGCGGGATGAAGTTTCGCAATATACCGTACTGTTAAAGAATTTCGCCGGTTGTCAACATTTATTGGAAATTATTGCCTTGCTTTTCAAATAAATTTAGCAATAAAAATGATATGTACTAAAAAATATTTCTAAACCTTTGTTATTATGTCATTAAATTGCTGCAGCTCAAGATTTGATCGTAATGCAAATTATCTTGATAAAAGTTCTTAAACCAGATTTTTTTTTACAGGATTTGCTTATTTATTTTTTTTTTTTAAATAGAGAATTGACTTTTTAACAGATGCTTAATTAAAAAAAAATTATTGATAGTAACTTCACGGTGTTAGACCTGGAATCGTCTCAAACCAAGCTAACAAAATCTAATAAACTTAATAATACAATTATCTCAAAAGGACTTTCCTAAGAGAAATTAACGATTAACAAACAAAACAATTTATTATCACGATTCACTTGTGTAGTAGGTTATCACGATCAATCCTATGATGAAGACAAGAAGAAGGTTGAAAGTGTAAAATAGTAACTTTATTAACTGTAGAGTTATAAGTCTAATCCCAAGACTTATCTCAATCTCTGAGCAAAACTCTGTCGACTCAAGGTTAACTTACAGGTCTATTTATATAAAATCGTTAACTAGTACTATACTAAGCTTTTTGATAAATAAAAATAATACATATATTACATGTATCATTTTCATAATATTCGGCGCAGTTGTAGATCATCAAAGGCGCAGTATGAATAGCGAATAACACCGGTGATTCAGATTTTTATTTTTTTTGGTTTCGTGCTCGTATGGTCACTTCGGATCGCAGCGACCAAATGTATATTTTCTATGCCTTTTTTATTTTAGAAATTGCCCCATCTTTTCTTTGGGTCGGAACACTTCTGCAATTATTATGTAATATTTTTTTTTTAGTTTTGGGTTGAGCCTTTAAAACTTTGATTTTTTTTACATTATGTTCTTTTTGATTATTAATTATACTAATTCTGCTTCGGTGAGGCTTTTTATTTTTTCCACTAAATAGAGCCATAGCAAGGATTTCGATCTCAAGGTCGTTTGAGTGAATATTTCCGATCATTCGGCACGTGGTAAATGATTACAACGCATAATTTAAAAAATCTGGTAAAGGAAACCACAAAATTATTACTGCATCGATAGGACAGAGATTTCTGGCGAATGTCAAGAATAGCAATATGTCTGAAAAGCTTGCTTGGAACATCTAGCGGAAAATTCGATTAGCAATGAAATATTATACTGTAACCTGATATATACCGCGTGATCTTGGAATCGGCAGGTATTATCGCATCACGAAGATCTGGATCAATGGCCCCTTCACATGTGAACCGGTATTTGCGGGAAAGTATGAGAAGGAGATATTCTTGTCATGGACCGTGATGTGGATAATTTAACAGTTGTGCCAGCTCACGCAGCCGGGAAAGTACATTTCCGCTTTGTCTTGCCATATAACCGTGATGATCGTAGTGGAATATTCAAAAAAGACAAGTTTGATTAGCATTTATGTATGAAATCAGAACGAATAATAAAACACTTACCGCATTATATAACCTACATCCAAAAATCGAAATTAACGTTCATAAGAATCATCACGTAAATATCAATTGACATCCCATACATTGCCTATATAAAAATAAAATAATTAGTCGAGTTGCTGAAATTATTAAGAAAATCTTTATACTGTCAAAACCCTAATAATGCTGGAGGTTTCGAGAAAGAAATATACTGGGCTATGATACGCCACCTTTGAATCGTGATACTTCATATTCCATCATCGGTGTGACTAAGGTTTTTTCCCACGGGATGTGTTCAAAAAAGGATAGTGGTTAAATGAGGGAATTTTTCAAATATTAAACATGTAATGTAATAAGATAATGTGGAACTAAAATTAATTTATCCCTTAGCTTCGCTTCATGTACTGACTTGCTACGCAACTTTGGCTAACCTTTACAAAACCATTTTATAAATGAACCTTTGAAGGCATGGCGATTCTGTGCCTAGTCCTGTTATGAAAAAGAATTATAAATGATTCCGCCACACGTAATGATCATCGAAATAAATTTCATCGCGCGAATTCGGAAGTTTGCGATCACTTCTGGCATAATTGATTCGCATTATGGATCATGTAAAAAACGACTAAAAATTCCGATGCATACGAAAAAATCATTCCTGATACAATGTATGCCTTTTGGCTTGAATTTTTTATTAAATAAAATACATGATTAGACTTGAGGCAGTATGTTGCCTGCCTCCCATGATACTAATAAGGACTTCAGAAATCCTGGAACGGAAAATAAATGTTAGTTTGCAAGCCCAGAGATAACATCAATGTAAATACTCTTCCACCAACATTATTTGCGTAATCATACCTTCTAATTTCGTCAAATCTTCTACATATTACGGTACGTCGTGAGTAAGAACTTTTTTTCTGAATCTATGTAAGCAAAAGTTATTACTCGGAGATTTTCCGTAGCTAATAATCTGGTTATATTACTAATATACTTTGAAAAGCAGCTGTTACAGTATCTTTGATGAAATATTCGTGTCTCGGAGTATTCCTTTCCACAATGACAAATTTCAACATGATCAAACGGAATAAACGTAATTGGTACAGGACTGGATTTTAATCTTGGAGTTGGATCAAAGGAATTTTCATTATTTGTAGTCGTAAGTTCCATCGTACTATATTGAATTTGGAATTTGAATAATTCACAACGGAGACATTTATAAGAAATCCAATGTTACACGGTTGGAATAACATTCCGATTCTTGAATTCTTGTTGATTTTCGAATCTAATATTCTAGAATACTTCCGATATTTTCTTAAAATTCTATTATTTATTTTCTTTGTCTCAAGAACAGGTACAATGACATGTGTGACGATCGATACCCTTTTTGTAAATTTCATAATTAGTTAAATGCTGCGCCACGTTCAAAATATTATAAACTTTCGTAACAAATTGATAGACTCGATAAATTTTATAATAATGCAATTTATTACCAGTATTTGCATTGTTATGTGATTAGTCATTAACTACGGAAAATCTCCGAAGAGTAATACCTTTTGTTTACATAGATTCAGAAAAATAGTTCTAATTCACGACGTACCGTTACGAAGAAGCTTTGACGAAATTAGACGCAAATAATGTTGCTGGAAGAGTATTTACAGTAATGTTATCTCTGGGCTTGCAAACTAGCATTTATTTTCCGTTCCAGGATTTCTGAAGTCCTTATTAATATCATGGGAGGCAGGCAACATAGTATTTCGGTGTAATTTTACCGTCTTACTAAGGTAATGCATGTCTTATAAGTATAATGACGACCATTTATAGGTGTTAGTATAGACTTCTGCAGGCACCAATATAAAACTCCTGTAGTAAATCTATCACTGTTTCAAGTCTAATCATGTATTTTATTTAATAAAAAATTCAAGCCAAAAGGCATACATTGTATCAAGAATGATTTTTTCGTATGCATCGGAATTTTTATTCATGTTTTTTACATGATCCATAATGCGAATCAATTACGCCAGAAGTGATCGCAAACTTCCGAATTCGCGCGATGAAATTTAATTCGACGATCATTGCGTGTGGCGGAATCATTTCTAATTTTTTTCATAACAGGACTTGGCACAGAATCGCATCCATGCCTTCAAAGGTTCATTTATAAAATGGTTCTGTAAAGGTCAGCCAAAGTTGCGTAGCAAGTCAGTACATGAAGCGAAGCTAAGGGATAAATTAATTTTAGTTCCACATCATCTTATTACATTACATGTTCAATATTTGAGAAAAATTCCCTCAATTAATCACTATCCTTTTGTTAATACTTCCCGTGGGAAAAAATCTTAGTCACGCCGATGATGGAATATGAAGCATTATTAGGGTTTTGACAGATCTCGCAAATCCGACTTTAGGTTGAAATTCGGAATGATGGGGCCAAAAAATAAGTATAAAGGATTTATCTTAATAATTCAGCAATTCGACTAATTATTTTTTTTTTTATACAGGTAATGTATGGAATGTCAATTGATATTTACGTGATGATTCCTATGAACGTTAAATTTCGATTTTTGGATGTAGATTCTATAATGAGGTAAGTGTTTTATTATTCGTTAAATCATACATAAATGCTAATCAAACTTGTCTTTTTGAACATTCCGCTTCGATCATCACGGGTATATGGCAAGACAAAATATAAAGCGGAAATGTACTTTCCCGGCTGCGTGAGCTGGCATAACTGTTAAATTATCCACATCACGGTCCATGACAAGAATGTCTCCTTCTCATACTTTCCCGCAAATATCGTTTCACATGTGAAGGGGCCATTGTCCAGATCTCGTGATGTGATCATACCTGCCGATTCCAAGATCACGCGGTATATATCAGGTTACAATATCTCATTACTAATCGAATTTTCTCTAGATGTTCCAAGCAAGCTTTTCAGACATATTGCTATTCTTGACATTCGCCAGAAATCTATCGACGCAGTAATAATTCTGTGGTTTCCATCACCAGATTTTCGAAATTATGCGTCGCGTCGTGAAAAACTATCTTACGTAATCATTACCACGTGCCGAATTATCGGCAATATTGTACTCAACGACCTTGAGATCGAAATCCTTGCTGTGGCTCTATTTAGTGGAAAAAATAAAAAGCCTCACCGCAGCAGAATTAGTATAACTAATAATAAATAAGAACATAATGTAAAAAAAGGAAATAGAAAAATCAAATTTTCAAAGGCAAAAGAAATTCAACCCAAAACTAAAAAAAAAGAAATATTACCTAATAATTGCAGAAGTGTTCCGACCCAAAGAAAAGATGGCGCAATTTCTAAAATAAAAAAGGTAGAAAAAA